AATTGGAAAGAAATGACTTCAACGTCTGTCCGATCCTGGAGATCTAGTGTTACGATCCAATCAACGGACCTTATGTAAGCTAGCTAGACTGAACCAATCAGGTAGGACCCGGAGTCCCGAGCCCCGAGTTTCCGGGACCACGGGACGGGGTTGAAGACCAGTATATAAGAAGGCCGCTTCCCGGCCTTCGTTGTTCTGGTTCTTCAGCAAGCAATAGCTATCACATCTTATCAATACCTTTAGGCTATTCTTACCGTTGTTCTGATCCCAGCGATATACTCCTGTGCTTGTAACGGTTCGTCACATCTAGCTTACCACATTCATTCAAGCCGCCACGTCGAGATCGCCGCCATCTCGCAAAGCATCGATAGAAACACCGTCGCCACTTTGCATAAAAGATATTACCTTCCTTTTCTGCCTCCGTCACTACTAGGTAACCTATCTTAACCGACAGCCGGTGGTCAACCGAACCTCCACTGCTTCCGGGGTCTCAATCTTGTCAGATAGCAGGAATAGTATTATTAACCTTAGCATTGTCAGACACCCCGTCCGTGCTCTAAGAGTGTGGGTGGGACTGAGGGCATGACCGTCCGGTGGAAGGCGAATCAGGAAAGGCCAACATCCCCTTCAGGTTTTTTTGTTGATCTCTTGGTGCAGTTTGCTAGTCAAATGGCTGCATCTTATGGGCACAAAGGTTGAAAATAACTCCCAGTTGCCAATGCTGCTGCTGAAGCTATTCAGTCAGCTATTCAGTCAGCACAGAATTCGCCGGTTGCAGGAAAGGGTGGAGAGGGAAAGAAAAGACAGAGTGAAACACCGATTGTTGGAGGATCACCAGCTCATAAGAAGTAGGTAGGATGTAAAAGAACAACATACCACAACCCAGCATGATGGATGAAAGGAATCGGGTCGCTGTTCATTGGGCCGCGGTTGTTGGGCGGGTCTAACGCTCTTGTCCACCAATTGTTCATGCCACTGATGGGGACTGGACCATTCGTCCGTCTGGCAATCAGTCAGTCACTCTTTACCTACAGTACGCTAGGCTCTGTCCTGTCCTATAACCAGTCCAGTCCCATCAAAAAAAGGAGCAGAAAACTCAAGGTCGAAAAAGAAGAAGAGGAGGAAGCCGAACGAAACACCGCACAGCCGCGGAACCAACCAACCAACCAACCTACATCCGCCGCTTTCTTCCGAATAGGAAACAACCAAGGACGTAGTGCCCCAGGCGTGCGGCGGCGGGTCATGGTCGACAAAGAAGAAGCCTCGCTTTGAGGCATCTACTTCTACTTCTAGACTTGCACTCACAACCTGAGGCGCTTCGAGGATGTTGGAAAGGGGCCGGTGACAAATATGGAGCACAGATACGCACCAACCCTTGGCCGTCGGATTAGGTGGGAAATCCCCATGCCTACCTCTGTAGACATATTGGAAGTCCAGAACATCCTAGATCATGCACGCAGGCAGACCAGGCAGATTATGAGGGTTGAGAGGCAGGAGAAAAGAGCTAGGGAGCTTGAACAGCAGAAGGCTGAGAAGGCTAGGAAGAAGGAGGAGATCAGAAGGCAGAAACGCAAGCAGTAAGGTGCTGATTTTGGTGGTTTTGTTGCTTTTTTCTTTGCTTTTTTTTTACCTTGCTCGACCGGATAACGTTTTTGAACTTTGTGGCAGAATTGCTCTGGGATGAGCAGTAAGGAACAGATCAGCTGGTGGTGACAGAGAGATTGTATATACGAGCTGATGCATGCGGGGTTACCAGCAAGCAGTCCAAGATGGACGACAGACATCCTTGGCAAGACTTACCGGGACTCGGGAGATGATCCATCCTGGCGAGAGATGGGATTGGGTGGGGAGTTGAGGGATGGATATGGTGGAAGGGATTGGACGGGGATGGTGACTGATGACTGATGACGGGGAAGGATTGGGGACGGAGAGAGAGGGAAGGAAGAAGAAGACGGATGGTGAATTGGAACTACGATATCAAGATTAATGTTTATTTGCTTCAACCTCGAAATGCCGCCCAGACCAGACCCCCGTCGTCGCTCGCGTCCAAGATGCTGATGAAGTTCTTGCAGAGGAGAGGAGGGTCTGGGATGCGTGGTTTGTCTTCGTTACGCGGCGACCAAGCACGCTACTTTGGACGGCAGCGAGCCGGTCAAATTGACCTGTGCCCTGGTCCTCTCGAGAAGAAAAGGAAATGTTGAGTGCCTATGCAGCAAGCGCAAATGGAATTGAGAATTCAGGTGAGTGCAGTCAAGGTCTTCCGGAATTTGTGGCGTAGTGCTGACGAAACTAGGTCGTCGTTCAATGTTCTGATGGATGGCGATGGCGCCGACCTCGTGTCTCTGCTCGGCTGGGCGTCTGAGTTGTCATTATATATACTAGCCCTCTTATAGTACGAAGGATCAACGGTTGGTGTCTTGAATGCTAGAGCTACAGCTACACAGAATTGGGAACGATAAGATGAATCTCGCAAAAAGTCCGATATGTAACCCAGACAAACGAAAAAGACATTGCAATGTCGAGCATTTTAGCCGCAGTTTCTCCTGAAAATACCAGCCCTACGCCCTCCGGCTTTCCTAGGCCCTCTATGAGTCTTGAAACTCTTTATAGGATCCTCAACAACCATGCTGGGCGCAGGGTCCGATTCGGTGATAGAAGGCATATCCATGAACTCGGAATGCGTCTCAATCTCTTTCTGCAACGTTGAACCCGAAAAGTTTTCCAGTATATCTCCATCATCCTCTGTCTTGGACCCACGCTGCCTCTCCGCCCAAGGAGGCAGACGTGCCTGTTCTCCGGCTTCGATTCGATCGACCACCTTGATGAGGTCTTCGTGGACTGCATCGAGGATGAGGTCTTCGTGGACTGCATCGAGGATGCCGTCTCTCCGCCAAGGGGGCAAGTCTTTCTGGTAGAAGACGGCATCGTCCCTTTTCCATGAGCCCGCAGCCCAGTCCGCCAGCTTATGCGCCCGAACGCAGCATCTCGGCAACCATTGGAGTTTAATCTCACACCCTTCGTCAGAGAGGCAGTGCGACAGCCATACGATGGCGCGTACAAGCGGCATGATGAGAGCGTCCCGCAGAGTCACCGGCTCGTCGTCAGCAAGTGCGCGCTTGTTTCGTAGCCGTTTGACACAGTTTGTGTTGTCCGTAAAAATACAAACCGAGGCACCGGAGGGAGGTCTGTGTAGTCTGACCGACGTGAGGACGGTCTGAAGGCCCTGAAAGATGGCGGCTAACTCTGTATGATAGCTCGATAGTACTCGATAGGAGCTCCAGGAACGAATATTGAAATCTCGTCGCCTCACCTTGCCTCCAAGCCCCTTTGTGCGGCTTTGGAAGGTATCGTTGTGGTAGGGATCGCGAAAAGCCACACCGTAGCCGCCACGGCCCCATGAACGGTGCTCTGGTTGTCTGTTTCTCTTGGGCAGTTCGACGTAGGGCTTGTAAGACCCATCGACAAAGACGTTGAACTGTGGCTTGTCATCTACCCACAGCTCGGCCTTCTGCGCACTTTCGGCTGAGGAAATTGCATCGCTTTTCGTCGGAAGTTCGCATGTGCCTTTGAAGGCGCGGGTTTCGTTCTGCCACAGGGGGATCCGAGTATCACCGCTGGGCGAGGGCGATCTATCTGGAAACCTGTGGGTTGGCGTTGCCTTGTCGGTGCGGTTGGTGCGATCGATGGGTCTGCGCCTCGCACTACTAGGCGTCGCCGAGTTGTGATCTTCGGGCGCAGGCTGCACGAGCACTGCACAGGAAGGGAGTAGGGCGCCGAGATGACTAGGTAGCGGGAGACCAGAAGTTGTCGGGTGTTCGTCGGCGACTGTAGCTTTGGGGCTCGCCACACCGTTCGAGACAAGTTGCGGCTGCTTTGAGGCATCTTGGACAGATTCAAGGGCCTTTTTAGAAATCTCCGACGCATCTCCCATCCAGTAGAAGGATTCGTGTCCCCGCTTGATGCGCTTGTAGATGTTTCCATTGGCATCGGCGATAAACCCCGGGCTCCGGGGTTGCTTTGGAGGTGTCATTTTCGGCTGGGATAGGTGACCAAAGGACTAAAGGAACATGCTCATCGTTAACGGAGAAAAGACAGGAAGGTGGGCTAGGAGCGTATGCTGAAGAACCATTCCTTGTCGATGGCGGTAATAAATTATGGCCACTCACCTTCAATGATCGGTCTTGTGACGTGCTACGAATCCAGTGATCTCCAGAGGAAGCAAGTGGAAGTGAGGATGCGACCAGCAACTAGCGTTGTCGAGGTAGCAGAGATGGTGACCAGAGCCACAAAGGCAACTGTTGCTACGTGAAGTGGAGGAAGACGCAAATGAGAAGTGCTACGAACTGCGGTGAAATGCATAAATGTTGCGACGGGAAAAAGAACAGGTTTTGGATTAGCCGGGGCAAGACAAGAGGGCTCGCCTGTTGTCGATTGTCTGTTGCCTAGTGAAGGCAAGTGCGGAAAGGTGAAGGGCAGAAAATACTTATCGGTTCTAGACGGTGAAGGGACGGGACCTGGGAGTGAAGGAAGGTACGATAAGCGCAAGGTCAAATTTTCTTCCACAGGAGTTGGGATGAAGTACGCCAGGGCAGCAATCCCGGACTGTGGTCAAATCGCAACGGAAGGCGCGACGAGGCTCCTTCCGCCCTCATCATTGGTCAGAGCAACCTGGAAATCATGGCCTTGATGATTTTGATCTCTGTCTCGAAGCAGCTCGTGATTGACAGCGGGAGAAGACGATTCCAATCTCGCTTTCAAGTCATCGGAATAAATTTGAGCTTCAATGAGCTGCGGACGAGTGTCCAACAAGTACAAAAACAGTCGAACCTCACCTTCAACCCAACAAAGCAGTCGGGATCTGGGACGTTGTACACCATAACATCTCGCAAAAGCAAAGAAACAATAATAAGAGTAGATGAGCACTGTAGCGAAGTAGAGAGACGAAGTCTAAAAAGAAAGCAAAAGGACACACACAAAAAGGGTGCTGGTAAATGTTCGGATGCCACTGCCCGGAGTCGAACCTGGGACCTGCCTTTCGGCTCTCACCGGCCTTACCTAGACTTAGGCTTCGCTTAATCGACGTGTGCTACCATTACACCACGGGGCTATTTACCAGCAAGATGTGTTAGTGGAGGGTCCCGGAAGGGACCCTTATATATATATTTTTTTGACTGTAGGGCACTTGTGAGACGATTTTGGCACGCCCCAGAGTCCCCTCCTTTGCAGACCTTCGTTCTTTGTCATCGTCGCTAGCTATATAGCTGGCGATCTCTTCCGGCCTCAGTTAGCTGGATCAATCAATACACTCATCATCACCACTCCCATCTTCCGCGGTCCATCTCACAGCACTACTTTCAATTTCTGTCTACGGACCTGTAAGTCGATGACCTGCAAATCACAAACCACTTCGTAGAGATAGCAATACTTCCAACTCTTCGTCTCTCGGACTCACTAATCGAGCATTGGCCGCTGCCACAAATGGAGTTGATAGTGTCCGAGCATAGAAGGAACCACCGAAGTGCAATTGTCATAATACCGGCAGACCGCTTTCACCAATTTCCCCCCGAACTTGGCGAGTTCGGCACTCAAAATGGTGGTATCTGTCTGTAATTGAGGCGAGTGAATGCGCACTTCGGGCACGCATCGTCAATTCGCAGCAGCGATTCCACTTTGTACACAAAGCCAGTGAATACACGCACTCCTTTAGACAAAAAGGAATCAGGAAACAGCAAACAAACGGTGTGGAAGAGGAAACCAGAAAAAAAAAGCAAGAAAAAAAACGTGCTGGTAAATGTTGGAGTGCCACTGCCGGGAGTCGAACCTCGGACGCGTTGGTCCGCTGGCCGCCTGCCTTACCTGGGCTTAGGATCGTTGCTTCTCTAACGTGTGCTACCGTTACACCACGGGGCCATTTACCAGCGAGTTGGTTTGTTGGATGCAAGTGTCGGAAGGGAAGGTTATATACCCCGTGCCCCATGCCCCGTTCCTTTAAACCTGTGCCGGCCCCCGTCGCAAGGTACTATAGCCAGCCATCCTTTCCTTCTTCATTACTTGGCGACTGATCTAATCTCCCAAAGATCCAGCATCAATCATCACTCATGACTAAATTGCATCGCAGAAGCCAGAATGTGCATCGCAGGGAAATGCAATGAAACAGTAAAAGTGACGACGGCTGGCACCAGTCGTCATGGATTCCACCATGCACGGGTTTGCTTCAGATGGTTCAGGTTCAGGTTCTGGGCTTGGCTTGGCTTGGCTCTGGACATGGAACCATCACTGCCAGAAGCCAGGGTATAAGACCCCAGTCCTTAGGTTCCGTTCCCATCTAGCCATCCCTTTTGGGGTTTCCTAGCTTCCTTCTTCAACTTCTTGTCTTCTGTCCAAGTTACCTCCAACCATAGGTAGTACAGTCATTCATTGCACATCGTACCCATCCTTGACTACCTAGCTACGCTGTGACAGTAAACTCAACCAGAGCAAAATCATGCCTCGTAGCCCAAGCCAGACTGATCAACCCAGGCGGTGTAAGTGAGGTGCTCCTAAGAAGTGTAAACCGAACGCACCGAACCGAACACACCCCAAAAAAATCCAACACATCCGCATCAGCATCACTCACACCTCACACCTTCAATATCCTGCGTCTTCCTCTTCCACACATAACCCGCATCCGCACCCGCCTCTTTCAGTTCCATCTTACTCCTTCCGTCCTTCGACCACAGTCCACAACTCACAAATCATCTTTATGTTACCACCTCACCAATCCCTCACAAATCCCTGATAGCCTCTAACAGACTGACTAACAGACGTCTCTCCACGTCTCCAACTTTATCACGACGCACCTCACACCCCCGCAACACCCTTTCCTTTCCCAGTTTCCCAATTTCCCAATTTCCCTTTCCTTACCAAGCTACCAAAACAAAACTCGCAGTGTCACCCTCCCCTCCCGTCCAGTCTCCAATCCAACATCCAACATCCAAATTCAGTTCAGTTCAGTAAGTTCACTCCTACGACCTCCCGGCTCTCGCGATGTTACCTTACCTTAGGTACCTTGGATAATTTAATACCCCAGTATCCAACGACAAGACCTTTGAGCTACCTACCTCTAGACATTATTACCCTGAAAACTACCTAAAATCATTGGAAGGGCTGGGCGTTATCAGTATTCCCCGCGATCTAGAGTACACCCAAGGTGCAAGGGATGGGTGATATCGTTATGATAGAATGGCGTTCAACCAATTACCTTTATAACGCACCTTTATCAAGGCATACAGGAGTTCTGTTGGATGAGATGTGGCTGAGTGTCCGACGTGGGTTTCGGTTTGCGTGTCGGTTGCTAGGTGGACTGGGCTCCACTTCGGACGGTGCGGTCCGCGGTGGGGCCATGGGGCCGGTGGGGGCCGTCTTGGACTCCACTACCCCGGCTCGAGTCCGGTTCGCGGCGGGTTCGGTGATGCATCGGCGGGGACCCTGGGGGAGGTTTCCTTACCGTTTCCTTGCTTCGGCCTCGTTGGCAAACTCTGTGATGGCAAACTCGGCGATAATGAAACGTTGGCGAAAGGAAGATGGGAGCGGAATTGCCATTCTCTCTCATATGCAACAAATCATTTCTTTTTATTCATTCATCCTGCGCTGATTCTGCATGCAAACCTCCTAGCAACCAACCGCTAACCTAACCGATGCTTCAACCTCAACCTGTCTGTGCAAGTATCCATACTGATATATACTACTCGAAATCCAAAGTTTTTTAAGTTCCAAATTCATGCATCATACCTATCCTCGGAATCGTTTCTCATTCTCATTTCAATCTCATCCCATGCATGCATTGATTCAATCTTCGCAGTTCTTTTCCCCTGCCGACCAGAACCAACCCCCCGCAGCCCCAACTCCAACCCTTACCCCAACCTTCCCCTTGTTTTTTAACCCTACCGGCTGGTCCAGCTCACCAAACCCCTCTCCCTCTCCCTTCAAAAGCAAAGTTCAACATCACCGCCACCAACAGCGACGCACAGAGAACACTCGGTCCCCACTTATCGTAATACTTTGCCGCCTTTCTTGTCCTGATCGCGCGGCTGCGGTAGAGGTAAATCACCACGGCGTAGCACAGCGAGAGGAAGGCCAACAAGGTGAAAACACCAGCGGCGATGAAGGAGCTTCTGCTACCGCCCTTGCCGCTGGCGCCAAAGTTGAGGAGGGTCACGGCTATGGTGCCAATGTAGATTGAGTATTCGAGCTGTTGCATGTTAGTTGACAATGCACGGAGAAAATTAACTGGGGATAAGGAAGGAAAAGGGATAAGAGAAGGGGAAGGAAGGTAGGGGGAACAGAAAAGAAAGAAAACATACCCAACCCAAGAACGTCCTCTCCGCAGCAAAATACACCTTCGGCTCCACCCTCACCGGCACATAAATCTTCTTTCCCTTGGGCGCCTTGATCCTCTTCTGATGAATCTCGCCCGCACCCAACAAACTCTCCAGATTCGCGTTTCTGGGAACCTCCGACGCTCTGGGCCTGGGGACAAGCGCCTTCAGAACTGACCACGTCACCCTCGCCGCGGCGTTCGCGCGCGTTTGCAGAAGGGTCGAGTAATACGTCCAGCCACCGACTTGCTTAGCAATCTCAAGCCTCTCGTCGTCGGACTCGTCATCGGAGTCGTACAGGTAAGTATTCTCGTTGGAAGCCCGCTCAACGGTTTGATCCTCAACATCATTAGCCGTTAGACCGCCACGAGCCCTACGGTTTCTGGCCGAGCCTTGAGCGCTGATTTCGCCGTTCTGGCTGTCTTGGCTGCCGATGCCGGTCACGTTCTCATCGTCGGAATCGTAATCGTCGTCTTCGTCGACATCGGTGGTGCTGGTCCTGGTGGAGTGGTCGAGGCGCTTGATGCCAAAGTCGTGCGTGGGCGGCTTGCGGATGTCGATATCCATCTGGGGGAACCAGTATGGGAGGAGGTGGATGCGATCGGGAAAGAGGCTGGCGGTGCCGTGGATGAACTTGGAGAACTTGGGGACGGCTTCTACCAAGTGGCTGGAGATCAGCTGGCGGACCCACTCGGGCGGTTCCTGGCCGAGCTGTGTCTGCAACTTGACTTCGAGAACGGCATACGGAAAGCGACAGATGTCACTGGGAGGAAGCTGGGAGAAAGGCCAATCGATGCCAATGTCCGTGCGCCGCCAGTTGTCACCACACCGCTGAACACCATCCAGGTTATCTTCGCGGATCATGGTCAGCTCGGTGTCGAGGGAGATGCGCACACGCGCGTCGGCGGGGAGCTGGAAGGCCGTGCGGTGGTAGAAGGAGCGGACCATAGGCTTGTAGCCCCTCTTAAGGACCCGGTACTGGATCTCGGAGGCGAGGCGCTCTTCCTCGGCGATGGCCTTTTCCGACTTCTTGCCTTCCTTGCGAGCCTTTTCGAAAATGGCGGCGGGAAGGAGCTCGCCGCGCATGTAGGCGTTGACGAACTTTTCTTTCAGGGCGAAACGGGCCTTGACGGACTTTTCGCCGGTCCAATCTTCTCTGTGTGTTTTCCGTTCGACGAAGATGGTCTCGGTTTGCATACCACCGTACCAGCGCAGACGGATGGCCTCGGCACCCTCGGTTTTCTTCAGTCGGCCCTCGTATAGCTCGAACGTGTCGGGGTTGTCGTAATAGATGGATGTGATGGCGGAGTCGGCCTCCTCAAACTCTTTGCTCGGATTGAAGACAAGAACGGGCAGATGCTTGAGGATGATCAACTTGAGTTCGGTGACGTTGTCGGGGTGCACCCAGTATTTGGTGGTATGTCGGATAAAGCTGCCTTGGCTTGCGCCAGCAGAACTGTCGCCTATGACGGGGTTGCCTCTTGTCCTGACCAAATCGTACAGCTTGGACAGCTTCACGACCGAGGCATCGTAGTTCTCCTTGTAGAATGGCTTCGCCTTGAGACGTGCGTCGAATACGGGCTTCAACCGCCATCCCGTCATCTTGTCGTGCTTCTTGATGATCTTGTAGAAACCGGTATAGTTGACCTGGACGAACTTGGCAAGGTCGTGGACATCGGCAATGATATCGCTTAGATCCTCCTCCAGCAGCATGAACTCCTCCTCTGTCGGGCCATCTTCAGTCAGACC